TGTTATCCAAGCCTTAAAACATATTTATAATTTAACAAATAATTTAATTATTGAAAATTGATCTTAAAATTACTCTCATAGTTTGGTAGCAATTTAAGATAATTTTCTTACCTTAGGAGTTTTCATGGAGACTAGTATTTCACTTTAAAGAGGCTTTGTCATTGGATTCATTTCTTTTATAAAGACAAGATTTAGAACTTTGGTATAAAAAATTCTTATTAAATTCTCTAATATGTTGTTAAAATTTAAAAAAGATTTTCTAACCAAAAAAATTAACATAAAGATTGTTATTTGCAACGCTCTTACTAATTTCATCATCGAAGATTCAAAATTTATTTTTATAAAAATAATTTATTTTCAAAAATATCTTTAATATGTTAATAAGATTTTTTGTCAAAAATTATCTTCCAATATGTTGGTAGTATTTTATGAAAATTATTTTTTTTATAAAAACTAGGTTATGAAATTCTCTAATAGTTTGGTAGAATTCATAAAAATTTTAAATCCATGAAAAATCTTCTAATAGTTTTGTAAGACTCATGAATTTACTTTTTCTGAAAAATTTTTATTTTAAGAAAGAAAAAAATCAATTAAAAATAAAAAAAATTATCATGCTAATAATATCATGCAATAACATAACATATCATGCAATAATAATTAATATATTGACAATATAAACAGGCAATAATAATTAATATATTGGTAATATAATCAAGTAATAATAATTAATATATTAATAATCATGCAATTAAATATACAAGCAAACTAAATTCATGCAAATAAATTGTAAAATCCTACCAATTTTTTTTATCACAATTAAATAACAATTAAATGATAAATAACAAAAAAAATGAAAATAAGAAAAAATTAGTAATGAAAATAAGAAGCAAAAAGAAAGCCAAAACATGTGATTGGGTCGAGTTTGGAGTGCAAATCTTCACACGGGTCAGCCAGGTTCACGTAGGTTAGAGGGCCTTCTAAAACAATGTCCTTTTGGTACTGCTATAAAAGTAAAAAATTTTAAGTTTTCTAAGAAAACATTGGTTCTTTCTTTCTCTAACAAAAATTTTCATTATCTTCTTTCTAGAAGTTTAACCCGAAAACAAAAACACGATGAAAATTACAAATTCGATGCTAAAAAAATTTAACTGACCACTGAAAAGTTTAAACTTTCTCATAATCACCTTAAATTTGTAGAATCTGACTGCCGCAATCCCTTTGATTGCCATGATTTTGGTCAAAAAATTCAAACATTCAACCAAAAAATTCAACAAAACCTAGAAAAACCCAAAACTTTGAATTTAAACCCAAAAAGTCAAATCAAATTCTATAAATTCAGGCCAAAAGTTCTAATCAAAACTAAAAAACACTCACAATGCAAAATCAAAATAGATTCCTTAAAAGCCCAAAAACTCAAAACAATTCTAAAATCATATCAAAAAACCAAATTCAAGAAAAAAATAAGACTCCATAATCCAATCTCATAAAAATTCCTAGAAACCAATAGAGGATCAAAATCACAAATTTCTAGAAGTAAAAATACTAAACTTGAAACTATGATTGTTGGAATTTGTTCCTACCTCGTATGGTTTTTATATCTATCCCTCCTATGATTTATGTATGTGTTTCTATTTATAGGGATTGAATCCCTTTCAATTTGAAAATTAATCAAGCTAATTTTGTGATTAATTCTGTGAATTTGTGTGATTTGATTTGATTTGATTTTACTGTGATTACATGAATTAAACACCAAGATCTTCACACAATTTTCTTTTTCAAGCTTTCCATTTTTTTTATTTTCTAAACTTTTTTTTTAATTTGACTTTGACATTCTTTTTTTAACCTTTGACTAAAATTAAAAGTTAAACCAAAAACAAAATCAAATCAAATTAAAAATTTTTTAGGCTTTTATCCTATAAGGCCCAAAGCTTCCAATCAGGCCCAATTTAGAATTGAAGGTCCATTTTAATTTTTAAAAAATTCTTAGACAAAATGGAGTGTATGCAACGGTACCATAACTTCTTCCTCTTGAGGTAGTTTTTTACATGTCAATTGAGTTGACTTAGTGAATTTGGCTTTGGCATCTTGCATGGCTATCTGCATTGGCTCTTGTTTGCATGAGTAGTGAGTTGACTTAGTTGGATTTGGCTTTGGCTTCTTGCATGGCTGTCACCAAGGCTTGTGTTTACATGAGTAGTGAGTTGGCTCAGTTTGCATGGCTTCTACTCGTATATTTGCATGGTACTATTTATATGCTCTTTAACAATTTGAGTTGACTCGATGTCTTTGCATGGCTCTTTAACAATCTTCTTGCATGGCTTCTTAATACCAATAGCATTTATAGTCCAATGGATGCCTAATGTGAGTACCATTTTTTTTTTTAAGACCAGGTAGTGTTGTGATATAACATTCATGTATTAAAATGCTATAATTAGGGTACATGCCAAACATGAACTAGATCTTTCTAACTTGTTAGACGCCAACACACAAATGCTTTTGCATCTAATTGTTGGAAAGTTTGTTGCATGTACCCTAAAAAATTGTTTCCATAAATGAGCTAAGGATGACATTTGTTTAACTTGTTGCATTGAAAATAATGATTTAATTGAAAATGTCATTAGATGTGTTATGCAAACTTGAGCCTCAAATTTTTATAGTTTATCCTTTCAAAACAAAGGACCAGCAGAACTTATATTTTATATATAAGTTCTTTATATTTTATTATAATTAATTAGTTATTGAAAGGATAAAAAAAACACAAGAATAATTGTAGACAAAAAGGAAAAAAGTAGTTGTAGCCAACGATGCCCAAACGAAAATGATGGAAAAGAGAAGAATCAGAGTCAGAGAGACGAGAGTAAAGTCTTGCTTAGTTGATTTGGTGCCATTTGCAACCATAACGGCTGTGGAGTGCCTGGATGTTGGCTTAACTACCCTCAGCAAAGTTATCATGTCTAAAAGGATGAGCCACTTTATCTATGCTATCTACTCATATGCCCTAGCTTTTGTCATTCTTTTTCCGATTACTTTTTTCTTCACTAGGCCATGTCTAAAAAAATTTGACGTGGATTTTGGATGACATGGCAATTCATGTGGCAACTTATATGGTAGCCATGTCATTTTTCGCTACTGATTTGGATAAAATCAGTTATGATGATGGGGTTTGGAACATTTAATAAACTTCAGTGACTTTATAGGGACAAATTAAAATTTAATGAAGGAAACTAAGGATAGTTCAGTGACCATCCATGAATTTTACTCACACCTTTCCGCCACACCAATGACAATATCCGTTGAACATATCTTGTTACAGTTGGTTGTCCATCACATCTTCATTTAATGCTTGGTTGGAACTAAAATAAATGAGATTAATCACGTAATAAATAATATGTTGGGATATTGACTCAAATCTCAAAAGATAAAATAAGTTTGAGATTTTTTCGAAATTAATTAAATATTACTTTATAAATAAAAAAATTTAGAAGATAAATATTCTAAAAGAAAAAAGATTCTTTGTAAGTTAGTTAGAAGTCGAGATTTTTTGTAAGTTAGTTAGAAGTCGAGATTCTTAATAGGGTTAGGCACAAGAGAAATATATAAAAGAGCTATAAGTTTTTACAGGGTAGACACTCATAGGAATAAAGGAAATTGAAAAAGTTTATATAAATATGTATATTTGAATGTTTATGAATGGACTAATATAGAATGTGAGGGTTCATATGAGTATGGTGATTGTTATGTTTGTAAGTAGATTAGAGAATAATGAGATGTCTATATGAGAATGGGCAAGGGTATGTTTGAATATATGTTTAGGTTTAGAATACGTCATAAAACTAAAGGGAAATGAAAAGATTTATGAGTATTGATTGTTTAATCGATGATTTAATGTGTTTGTAATTTTTTACAACTAATGTATTTTTTTTTACATCCATAGTGCTAAGCAAGTCAAGTGTTAAATCACAAAATAATTATCTCTCATATGGATGATTTATAATTTTATTATGCTTTCACTTACTTGGATATTCAATTGGTTAAGGACTTTTTGTCTAACAGAATCTGGTTACGCTAATTAATCTTTCATACTCTTAAGTGAAAATTTCAATGGGGGTCTTGAGGTTTCCAAGCATAACTCAGAGGTGCGAAGTAGCCATCGCGGACTGCCCTCTGTTATTAATGATACCACACTTTCATAATTGAATCCCTTAACATGAGTTTGGGCTTGGCCACATATAGTCAGGTGAAAAGAGCAAGAGTTACTAAACTAATAATATGTTTGAGAGAAAATAATAAGGAATAATAACTTAAGGTAACATTTGGTAGCATTTTTAAGTTCTTCGCGGTGATGTAATTATTATGATAATAAGATTACCAAAATAATTTAATCATCAGTGACCTTAGATTACCATATATAGTACAATATTATAAATCATTAATGATTCTAAATCACTTGTTGCTGATATTCACTACAGGAAAATGTTTTTAGCAACATTTTTTTTTTACATTTAATACATTATAAAGCACCACTAAATGATTAGTAGTGTTTACTAAAAATACCACTAAGAGTGTCATTTATACCTACGTTGGAGAATATATGACCGCTTTAGGAAAAAACATCACCAAGTTAGCAATGCTTTTGGAAAAAAACACTGCTACATTAAGCAACGTTTTTTGCTACAAATGCTATTAAATTTAACAATATTTTTCAAAAAAAAAATATTGCTAATTTTGGTTATTTAGCACTATTTTTTACTACAAATGTTACTAAATTTAATGATTTTTTTTTATACAAATGCTGCTAATTTTGGTTCTTTGGCAACATTTTTACTATAAATGCTACTAAATCATGAAATTTATTTTTTTATTTCTTTCAATATTTACTTCTATAAATAAATAAAAAATATTGAAAGAAATACAAACGAATTGAAATTTATAAACTAAATATTATAAATATTTAGACATCTAAATACATAATTTGTTTCAATCTGTATGTAACCACAAACTTTAATATGATAACATTCCAATTGTTTCAATACATTAAGCAAAAATTTAAAAAGTATGAAATTGATGACTATTGAGACTTGAAGCTCCGCCATTTAATGAAGGATTTTTTTCACCATAAACTTGGTGAAGCTCTTTCTTTGCTCCTGCATCTCTAGCTCCCATGAACTGCCATTTGCTTCTTCTAGAGCTTGACTGCGCATTCAACTGCCACTTCCATTTGTTTTAATAACATAACTCCACAAATCATTTATCAGTCAAAACTCAAAAGCAGAAACAAGAGTCTGTACTATGAACCATTGATAAAAGAAGAGAATGACATTAGAGGAAACATGCCAGTGAAGGTTCTCTATACAACTGACACAACACATGCTTACCACACTCCGAAATCCTCTGCTTCGACCTCACAAACCAGGAAACCTCCCCCCACTTCTTCTCCTTCCCAACCTTATCATAACCCCCATACCTCTTCACAGCATTAAACAATTTACATAAATCAAATTCCCCCCTTCAAAAACCACCCTCTTCTTCAACTTCTTACCGTAATGTCCTTCCAAAAACCTATTGTACTCTAACACAAAAGTCTTGGAATCATATCTATTATATTATTGCAAAAGTTTTGCAATATATTATATTAAAATATATTTGAAATCAACAGTCTTTTAACAAGGAAAAAAACACTAGGATATTGATGTTAAAGTGAGGATTATTCCCATAAGATGAACAGATTCAAAATCATGCACAGAAAAGACATCATGGCATTCATAATTCTCTCTAGTGAAACAAGAAAAGACAAGTCAGATTAGTTCTTGTTATTCACATCATTCTTTTTGTTGGCACTTGAGGCCTGAGGGTGTTGATCCAGACATCACGGCATTCATAATTCTCTGTTTCAATTATGAGGAAGTTTATCTAGTGTATTTCCAAGTTGGTGAGAGTTACATACAATCTATGTATTTTGTAAATTGTGACCATGTAACAGATTGAAAATTTGTTGCTAAATGTTGTAACATAACTAGTCAACTTTGAATAGCCGCAAGAATGCTGAATCAAAAGGGCAAAAATGCAGGAGATTACAAGAATAAATAAGCATAACAAAGGTCTTGGAGAATACTAACCTGATTAACATAACGAATGAACTTGTCCATTTGCCAGAACCATGTGTGTGTATGTTAATACTTCAAATCTGTTACCATAGTCCACAATACATGATTTTTGCAAGTTATGTTAGCCTAAAAAAGACAAGAAATTTTAGGTAAAAGTGTCAACCTTCTCTAATATAACTAAAGGCAGAAGTGCCAACAAGAAATTGCAAAAAAGGCTAGCAACAGCCTCTACCAAAACCAACTGCATAGAGCAATTTCCATTACAAAAGGGAAATTGGATTATAGTTGGACAAGATAATACTCTTCCACAATGCCACAAGAGAATAAACACATATTATTATGCCAAGCATGAGGTTGTTGACTCAAAAGTTTAAACTAAAATAGGAAAGACCTACACGTGAAAGAGCAAAGCTTGAAGACAGAAAGGGGTTGAACTTTGAAGAGTAAATAGATAGAGAACTTAAACTAAATAATGATATTTGAAATCCTGAAAGGCAAATCAGTAAATCACAATGGAGTGACCAAAAAGTTGAAACAAAGTTTGGTTACTCAGTATCTCGACCACTGGTCAAAGCATTCCAATCCTTTGTGCTAATATACTTTCCAAGCTTTTCAATCTGTGATGCATCACGATTTCCAACAGTAACAATCTACTTAAAATGAACGAAAGAAAACATATATAAAAGGGGTCGAGAAATGGCAGATTCACTTAACATAAACCATATTAAGAAAAAAAAAAAAGAGTGGCACCCACTGCTTTGCTTCTAAAGAAAATACCTCATTCTTCAACTTTACTCTCACATGGTCCCATCAAAAAGGTGCATCCTAACCTGCTGCAAGAGGAAAACTTCTACAGTGTCCATGATGGATAGCTTCCTGCTCATAACTAACTGGTGATTCTATCTGCCTTAACCCCCTTGAGGTGGTCATCAGGATCCAAGGACTCTTTCCAGTGATTCTCGTGTGCCACAAATGCTTCCATTGATATCTTCAGAGGCAAGAAAAATGCCACCTGAAAAACACTGATGGGTTTAGCTCGGTAAGCTAAGAATGGCCTGAACGTAAAAGAATATGCATAAATAGACAAAAAAAATTCCTAACAGATAAATTCGTCCCATACAGCTCAATCCAAGAGCAATTATGATCATTTGGCATTCCATAACAAAAAGCATAAAAATATTCAAAATTTCTGGTAGGTTATATTTTCTTCTAATGGAAGAGAGTTTGGATATCACCAAAAAAAAAAAAAAAAGAACATTTTTAATTTAAAAAATGAAAGTTTTCATGGTTTCAGAATTCAGAGTAAAACATAAAGTAAGACTCTCCCTAGTTATCAACCAACGTTCTTTAAAATGTTAAAAGCAGCTTATCCTATAACAAATGAATGAATAAAGCACAGCAACATTTCAAAGAGAAGAAATAAATGATGAAGAATCGAGGAGTAGCAGAAGTTTGTATCAGTGACAACAATGGTGTTAGAAAGGCACCGACTTGTATCATTAGCCAAACAAAAGATCAAAGCTCAAATTTGACAATATATATCAGCAAAAAAAAAAGAAAAAAAAAAACAGAAATTTTGAAATACCCAACCCAAACCTAAAACCATTTCCCATTTTTTCTTCCGAACAGAATCCAAACGAAACCAAACGAAATTAATCTTAACAAAATAAAAGAAAAATAGGTTCTAGGAAAAAACTGCTAACCTGTTGGTTCAAGGACGAAATGGGTTACTTCGGCGCAAATATAATCGTAGGAAAATCTTATAGAAAAGAAAGGGAAAGGAAAACGAACGAATATTGAAGGGAAATCTGTTGGTTTAAACTGGCAAATCAAAAGGAAAGAAGGGAACGAGTTACAGCAGCACTCGGTACAAATGGAGGGCTGGGTGGATTTTTGAAATTTGGGGATAAATTAGCTGCATTTGTAGATATAAACGTTACTATATTTTATAAATTAACGGAGTTTATTTTAACAAACGCCTCTATATTATGTGAATTAGCGACAATTGTGATTATAAATGCCACTATATTTTGTAAGTTAATGGCATTTGTAATTACAAGTACCATTATATTTTGTAAATTAGAGGCACTTATTAAAAAAAATACCATTAAATAATAAAATACAATGCATTTTAATTTTAAGATAATTTTATAAAATCATATTTTCAAAATAATAAATTTTGATAATCATTTTACAATATTTTATTATACATATTTTGTAAATTAGAGGCACTTATTAAAAAAAATACCATTAAATAATAAAATACAATGCATTTTAATTTTAAGATAATTTTATAAAATCATATTTTCAAAATAATAAATTTTGATAATCGTTTTACAATATTTTATTATACAAACATTGCTAAATTTTACATATTAATAGCATTTACAATTTCAAATGTAGTTGAATTTTAAAGATTAGTGGCATTTTATACTTTCAACATCGTTGTATGTTTATTTAATGGCATTTAGCCAAAAAAATGCTGTTAAGTTTATAAAAACACAATAATTAATGGCACTTGGCAATAAACGTTGTTAAAAAACTATTACTAAATTCTTATTTTTTAGTAGTGATTATATGAAAAATAAATCATATAATACAAATATCTAACATAAACTTAAAAAAAGTAAAATATTTAATACTCATTAAATCAACAATTTATAAGATAATTAAAGTTATTTTATAAAAAACTACAAAAATATAAATCAATTTTGATAAAAATAACTTTTAAAAAATTATTAAAATATTTATTATCTTTTTTCTAGTCAATATAAATTTATAACATAAAACTTTTTTTACAATAAGTGATTAAAATATTGGTTTTTAAAAATTTTTAGTGACAATTTGTTGAGATAATGTTAACTATATTTTTTATGAGGATAAATTAATTAAAAAATTATTTGAAAATTATTTTTCTATAATGATAAAACTTTTTTATTTGTAGGTTAGGAATCAGATTATTTTTTAAGATAATGATTTTATTACTCTTAATTAATTAAGATCACCACCATATAAATTTTTTAAATTACTATTAAATAAAATGATATTATTATTGAATGTAGATCACAATAATTTTTAAACATATCACTATATACCAAATACTCTTGAGAGGAAGAAGAACTTACCTGATGTAGCTCGCGGATGAGAAAGCCTTGGCATAGTACACCTTAATCGGGCGATGATGCTTTGAGATAACCGTTGTAACCTAGCCGCGAATTGAGAATAATATGGGATGTTATGTCTTGCCATCTGAGCCTTTGGAAGATGCTGGCGCTAATTCGAGTATCACCATTGTCACCGCTAGCGGTCATAATGCTTTTACTACTGGTGATTTGTTCTTCGATAGTCTTGGCCACAAGATCGTCTCACGGTCTTGACGGTCAAATTGAGTATGAAATTGGTCTGGGTAATTGGTGATAATCTTTAGTTGGGTTGACTTGGCTATGACTTTGATTCCTCTGGAAATGGCTCGTTGCTGGTGGTTTTTAAACTAATGGGATTCCTGCTAGTGATGCCTCCGCTGGTATTTCGAAAATGCTTTCGATGTAATAGATAATATTCGTAGGAGGAACATGCTAGTTGGCAGCCTTAGCTGAGATGCGTCGCATGACATCATAATCTTGGCGGTAAGTGACTTTATTAGCACTAGGATGTTACGGTTTGAGATAGTAAAACGAGTGGAATTAATGAATACAGGGACGGCTACGAGTCTTATTTTGAATTTTGAGTATGGTGGCCGAGTTGGGTGAGACCTAGTCAGAATGAAAAGGGTCGTCGTACAAAAGTTTGCCATCTGAAGGATTGCCCCGGCGACGACAACCATGATACTTACTTGAGGGAATAGAATAGACAAGGAGGGTTCACCATGTTCGTTGGTGTCACCTTGCCATCAGGCCAACTTGTAGGCTGCCATCACTACTAGGCCAGCAAGGGATTATTATTATTATAGCTCCACCTCTCTGGCTGTGGTCGAGGAGCGGAAGGACCACTTCTGTGAAATGAGATGTCGCTAGTTGTATTTCCTTATGAAACACTTCCGCTGGCATTTGGATGGTGTTGGCCACTAATGATGAGGGGCTTCGGAACAGTGAGGATTTGATATTTTAGTTGGTGGCTATGCTTAATAAGAAAGGATTTGAACTTAATATAATAGTTTTGCTAGCCAAATAATCTAAGAGGGAAGTCTAGCGGGCTATGGTCTGATATGCTTTGAGTTTTGGTTAAAATTAGCAACACAATGTTGATCACTAACAACATATTTTATTAATAATAACAACTCTAATAATAAAATTAAATTAAACTTAAGAAAGTTAAATTTATTGAAAGGAATGATTTCTATACTACATAATTTATATCGTGAATATAGTTGAAGATAACGTTGAAATAAAGTTATTTTATTTTTTTATTCAATTAAAATCATAATATTTTTCTTTCTTTATTTACATTTATTTGAATGATTATATATAAGCATATTATATTTGTAATATAGTATAGAACGAATATAAATTTTATATATTATTAATTAACAATAATTGAATATTTTTATTTTTTATATTAATCATATTATTTTTGAAATCATACTTTAATTTATTCATTATTTTATATGCCATTAAAAGTATCATTTAATTAATTACATAACAATTAATTACGTCCTCGGAAAAAAATTGGATTTGAAGCTGGGCCCGAAGGTCATCGATTTGGATCTCATAATTGGTTTGAGGCACATCAGTTGCGCTTGCTATTTCCCAACCAAATACTTATCAGTTTCTTCTTTTTTTTTTTTGTCATATGGGTTTTTTATGTATAAACTTAATAATTTCTCATCTCTCCTACTTTCTTTAATCTCTATGACGCAGTGGATTTAATCATCTATCAACCCTTCCTCTCCTTGTACCATTCTTTCTCCCTCTCCCTTCATGTTTTCTTTCTTCTCTCTTTTTCTTTTTCGTTGTCAATGTGTTACAAGCTGTTAGAGTATTGGACTAATTGGGTTTTTATTCAAGTCCAATCCAATAAACATAAGTCTATTTTAAATATTTGTTAAGTTAGTTAATGTTTGATTACTTACATAGATGCTAATTACACGGGTCCTTGGTCTTTGTTGAGTCATTATTCTGTTGGTATATAGGTGTATCGGCAAGGATTGAATCCAGTCAATGAAATATAATCTATAGAAAATTCTCTATTCTTTCTATGAATTATTCTTCTTCTTTCTCTTATCAAGCTATGTAGGTATTCTGTTGCAGCTAATCTTCTCCAACACGATTTAGCTCCTATCATTTGCTATCAGAGCAGACGATTCGACGATGGCGGAAGGCGTAACCACCATAGCACAGAAAGAACTAGGTCAATTGCGAAAAGAGCTGAATTCCAAGTTGAGCCAAACAACAACCCAGCTACGAGAAGAACTACATAATGGTTAGCAAGTTGGCTGGAGAAAATTGGCACCAATCGGAGCAAGATGTTTAAACAACTCGCTTCAAAGTTAGAGAGTTCATTAAAGATATCAGAAGCAAGGAATGTGGAAGAAGCAGTTTCTTCGATGGTCAAACAAAATGAGACGATGGATGTGAATGGAACCAAATCATTGATGAAACTGGGTGGTTCTCTTATGGCAACCACAACGCATACCAAATATTCTAAGATCGAGTGCCCACGATTTGAGGGAAGCGATTTCAAGGGCTGGCTATTTAAGATCGAACAATTCTTTGAAGCTGATCTGATTAGAGAAAGTGGTAAGGTTAAGATTATAATGATGCATCTAGATGGGAAGGCTCTTCAATGGCACCAGCGGTTTATGAAGAACAGGGGAAAGCTCACTGGTGTTTCATGGCTTCGATATATTGCTAAATGTGATCTCGTTTTTGATGAGAATGAGTTTTCTGATCTTATGTTTGAATTAGTGAGTCTGAAGCAAAACCATATTGTTAATGATTATTATGATGAATTTGAGGGACTGTTAAACATGATTGATATATCTGATGAGCATGCCTTATTATCTTCTATTAGCAATCCGAATCCAGATGTATCCAAACTTGTTAGAATGTTTTATCCCAAAGATCTTACCCATGCTTATAACCTTGCCAAACAAATGGAATCCTCGAAAACCTTGTACTTCTTTAAAAAATCCCTTGCCAGCACCAACCTCATCAACTCAGATATCAAGTCAACCTAAAATGACTTACTCTCCCTTACTGCGTACTCCAAAGGCTTTCTTTATGAACTATAATCAACCTGCTAAACATGTAACTCCCTCCTATTAACACCTATAAACCTGCAAACACTAAACCTGATCCTAATTCCCATAAAACCAACAAACTTCCTTCTAGAGAAGAAAGGGAAGAAAAGAAAAAGAAAGGGCTATGCATGTAGTGTAGATCCAAGTTTGTGGTAGGTAATCGTTGTAAGTAGTCACAGCTATATCAATTACTAGTGGATGATGTGGGAGAAGGTGCTACTGAACAAGAGGAATTTTCAGATCGTTTGGAGTCTCTAAAGGAATTTCAAGTGACAGTTGATAACTTGAGTAGGCCTACAATATTCCTGCATGCTTTGGCTGACACAACTAGCAAACAAACTATGCAAATTCAAGGAAAAATAAAAAATCAGAATTTGGTGATTCTAGTAAACTCTGGTAGCACTCATAATTTTTTGGACCAATCTATTGCTAAATGTTTGGGCTATAAATCGACAGGAGTGAAAGGTATTCGGATATCAGTGGTTAATGGTGAACTGTTAGTGGCTAAACAATTTTGCAAAAGCTTACTGTGGCAACACAAGGTCGATAGCAGCATACAGATTTTTTGCTATTACCACTTATGTGATAAGACATGGTGTTGGGTGTACAATGGTTACAAATGTTGGGACCTATTCTTTGGGATTTCAACAACCTAACCATG